AAATGTGCTTTACACAATTGGTGTGTGTATGAATTGTGGTAAGAGTTGTATGAGCCCCTAATAAAACGATTGAAAAAAGAAGAAATGTGCAAAGACCTGGAGTTAGAAAGCCAAAAGGAGAGCCCACACTCAGTGCTTCTAAAGCTGAAAAAACTGAAGAAACCGCCAGCTTTGAGTTGCAGTATTACAACATCCTCTGGGCAAGTAATGAACAATGCAGAGAGCATCAAAAGAAGACAAAAAGGAGTACACAGCCACCGTACCACAACGAATTGGTCAGTGCTCAACCAGTGATGTTGAAAGAAGAACTCCAAGCTGCCCGGACGACCAAGGTGAAAAACAAGATTCAACAAATAGATGCCATGCGGAAGTGCTCACTTATCTGTGCCTAGAAATCTGGACGACAGCTGCCCGTCTGTGCCTGTTCCAAAGAGGCGGCTCCACAGAATGAAGAACAAGTCATAACGCATTTGAGAGAGGGGCAGAAGTGCATCAAAAAGGAACTGCTGCTTCTGAGGAAGAGCATGTGGAATTCAAGGAATTCAAGCTGCTTCTGATGAAGAGCATGTGGAATGAAGGAGATTGCTGATGCCAGCTGGATGTTGGCTGGAAGCAGAGCATAGTAGGAAGACTCACCTGCGTTTTACTGACTTTGCCAAGGCATTTGACTGTGGATCATGAGAAAGTCATAGAACATTTTGAAGAATGGGAATTCCAGAATCGTTGATTGTGCTCGTGCAGAACTGGTGCATAGAAGAGGCAGTCCTTTGAACAGAACGATGGGATATGGCATGGCTTAAAGTCAGAAAGGTGTGGGTCAGGGTTGTCTACTTTTACTTATTCAATTTGTATGCTGGATTGTGTGAAAAAGTGTGAAATCAGGAGTGGAAGACGGTTCATTAAAACCTGAGGTCCACAGATGCCACAAACTTGTGCTGAAAGCAGAGGACTTGACGTGCTTAGTGTTGAAGATCAAAGACAACCGCCTTCCAGTATGGATAACACTGTAACATGAAAGCACTCTTACTAGTGGATCAGTAGGCAACATCATGATAAATTGTGGGAAACAACCAGGAAGAGAGTGTATGCTGACAAATTCTCAACCTTCATACATTCCGGAGTCTGAGGGTCTGGGGCTCCCGTGGAGGGAGACCCTCACGTTTATGGGTTGGAGATGCATTCCAGTCACATTCTCCTAAGTACAAATTAATCCCTCTACCCCCACCCCAAAATAAAAGTTAATCCCCTTGATGTACTCCCATATAACACCAATTTTGTAGTGCTGTTTGCAAGCACATGGTCGCTTACTATATTCTTGAAGGTTATTTGCCTGAAGGTTGTCTGCCATCAGACCCTTTTGTCTGTCCCATCCTAACTAGGGCCCACTCCCTTCTGATAAAGATCATAGATTGTTCCCTGGGAGAGGAGCTCAGAGACACCTAAGGTCAAGCCAGCTCAGAGAAGACCAAGGTTAGGCTGCCATCTTGACTCTAGAATCGACCCATCTTGTTACCTGTGTACCTTCCTGTTTCGTGTATGCCTCTAGCACCTCCCTTTCCTGTTGCCTGTATACCCCTAGCTCAACGCCACCCCCCCACCCCCCGACATGTTAAGTGTATGCCTCTAATACAACCCCTTTCTGTTACGTATGTGCTTACTGTGGTTTGTGTATCATATAGATTGCATAAGCTCGTGAGAGAATACATTACTTGCCTGCCTTGTCTCATGTCTCTAATTCACCCCTCAATCACACAACTGCCCCTTAGAACCTATCCAGATGCAGGGCTGGCCCCCACAATAAAAGAAAAGATTGAAGTTATCCAGTATGTCATTTCACTTGGACCCACAGTCCAAGCCCTTGGAAGCAGCGATCAAGAAATCAAATGGCAGATTGCATTGGGCACATCTGCTGCCAAAGACTTCTTTAAAGGATTGAAAAGTAAAGATGTCATTTTGAGGACTGGGTGTGCCTAAACTAAGTCACAGTATCTTAAATTGCCTCAT